AATTGGTTTAATTACTTACAGAATTAAAAAATTGATAAATTACTTGCACAGCGGAGAGGGAAATAAACGGAAATCTGAGCTGCAATCATCCTATGAGCGAGATGTAATTTTCATCTGATTAGATCCGATAGCTTCTGCCCTTGTCGGCTCCCGTTTCCTACAGCCAAACAAAGTCTGGGGGTCCAGGGACATGTCTGTGCCTGAAGCATTGCCTTCAAGTGCACAACATTTCCCAGAAGCCTTTGCCCCAGTCACTTGTAGAATTAGTACTAAAATGTCCTACAGTAAGGATGCCCCAGTCCCATCCCAGACTGGGAGGCCACAGGATACTTGGTACTAGCCCAACTTAAAGGACTGGATGCAGCAGCCTTCCCTTGTCTGTGGGCGCTTTTCCTGCAGCTCCTGAGAACCTGCCCGCCTGCCCTCATGCTGCCACTGTGCTTAACCTCCTGCCCAGAGTCAGGAGCATCCATCCTCCCTTTTTCTGTACTCAGTTTCCTGCTGTATACAGACAAGTGCTCTGCCTCAACCATTTCATTGTCCTACTTCTAAACAGGACCAGCTGGTAAATTCCCTAATATGCCGATCATTTCCTGGTTCTGGTGATTGCATGGACATTACCACTAAATATAATACATTTTGGGCACTTTGCTGTACACTGCTTGTCTACAAAATGAGATTAGGTAGTTGTGTTCCGAATAAATGTCTAATTTTAATGTAGAAGAAGCCATAAATATTTTGTAGACCAAATTTAGAAAGCAGTTATCTCTCATTTGAATGAAGAACTGAGATGGAATAAAAGTTTCATCATGGGGGAACGAGGCTTAGGAGCAGAGCACTTGAGTCTGTGTTCAGTTGCCATAGGAAGGAAAAGGGCGAGGAGGGGCGTGCTGGAGGAGAAGGAGCGGAAGTCTCGGGTTCCTGGTACAGTGGTACACCCTGCAGTCCCAGCACGGGGAGGTAGAACACAGCAGGAGTAACAGCAGGGCAAGGACATGTGTGTCCTACAAAGTGAGCCCCAGGGCCAGCCTGACCTAAAAGAAGATCCTGTCTCAAAGAGCTGGGGTGGGAGAGACATAAAAAGAAAAAACGTCCAAAGGTCTGAAAATAAATGTCACCTGACCTTGTTGCTAGCACCCCCACCCCACCCCCGCATGTGTGTGTGCTTGTGTGCACACTGGTATGCAGGCACAAGGGACAAATTCAAGTGTTGGTGTTCCAGTGTTCTGTGGGCCACAGGGATCTGCCTGTCTCTGCCCCTCCAGAACTGGGAGTGTGAGCGTAGGCTACCCACCCTGCTCTGTTTAACGTGGATTCGTGGATTCGAGAAATGCAACTCTGCTCCTCATGCTTGCAAACACTACCTACAGGGCTCTCCCCCAGTCCCAACTTGGAAGATTCCTTGAGGTTTAACTTGCTTGAACTTCCTATGTAATAGCAGATTTTCACTTCTTGCTTTGTTCTTCTAGATCTTAAATTTCTGTTGCAGTGAATATTTCTTTAGCCAGCTCATTCTAGAACTTTCTGTTCTTGTTTTAAAGTACTTTAATGTCTACGTGGCTCTCAGGAAAACTAGAGCTGGTTACAAATACAGCATTAAGGACAAATGTCTCCAGATACCAGGCCCAGGACAAGATGGCTGCGAAGACAGATAGAGATTCTGATTCATTGTCATAGGAAACTTGACCTCCCAAGGTTACTCTGCTGAAGTGACTGTCAAACATGAAGTTTTTGTGTGGACAATACTGACTTGGTTCAAGTAAGTGTGCAGATTTAGAGGATGAGATGAGCGGTGTGAGTCAGCAGTGGAGAATGCAACAGGTTATGTGAGCAAAACAAGTTCAGTGGGAGGTACCTGAAACTGCAGGCTGAGCTCTTTCTTGGCATCATCAGTTCCTCACAGTTAGACCTGCTTTTGTGGCTATTATGTTTGTTCAGCGTTTCGCAGTTCAATTTAGCAAATTAAAATAATCAAGACTATTACAAAGACATAATGGCTGAAGGCAAGTTGTTTTCCTGGTTAAAGAACATGAAAATAAATCAGTGTTGAGAATTATCATTTGGTTTTAGAGATGTCCCATTACTAGACCCAGATTTCTTTCTAGGAGACATTTATTGTTTTCTGTTGGAGTTAACTATATTCTAAGTGTCTGAATGTGTCTACTGCTTTGTGTTTTAATATAGGGAATGAACATGAGTGCTGAATTAAACTTTCAGGTACCAAGGAGTGAATAAGAGCAAGTGGTGCTAAGAGCTAGTCTAATCACCTGTTTGGAGTTGCCATTGGTATCAAAAACACCTGAAGTGTTCTAAACCTATAAAAGGCAAACTTTTCAGATTAATCTTTCCAAAGCAAATTACCTAAAAGGTCAGGACCACATTCTCAATTATTAATCCAAATCTACTTTAGTTACATAGTTTAAATATGCCCTATAGTTTAGCATTCAGAAAAAGTATTGACATTATGTCTTTGATTTGGAGTTGTCTGATGTGAATTTGATTTTTTGAGACATTCTCAAAAAATGTTAGGTTAGCCTTGAACTTGCTGTGTAGGAGAGGATGACCTTCAATTCCCTATCCTCATGCTTCCACCTCTCCAGTGTGGGATTACAGGTTTGTGACATCATGCCTGATGAATTCATGTGTTTTTTGCATTTAAATCTACAATACAACCTGACCTAAAGAGTAAAGAGAGATTTCATTACAGTAAAATACTGAATTAATTTTTGAGCATGATAAATGTATATCACTCCACACCCGTTAGAATAGTTGTAATAAAGCAACTAATTGATAAGGGTTAAAAGAAATGTGGAGGAACTGTCACACTTTGTTGCTGATGGGATGTAAAATGCCACAACTTTATTGGAAAATAGTTGGACAATTCCTCCAATAGTTAATATAAGGGTTTCCTTTTGACTACGGGAAATGAAAGCGTGTTTATAAAACCTCGAGTACAGTTGTTTACAGTGGCATTACTCATAAGAGCCCAAAAGCAGAAACAGCTGAAATGCTCATCAACTTGTTAATGATAAACAAATATGGTATATCCACAGAGTGGCATGTTATTCAGCCAGGAGAAGAAATAAGTATCAATTCATGCTACGGTATGAAGGAATGTTGAAAACATCAAACGTCACTAAGTATGTGAATCCATTTGAGGCATGCAGATAAGTAAATCCATTAATGAAAAACAAAAGAGCTAGACAGTGGTGGTGCATGCCTTTAATTCCAGCACCCAGTGAGTTCGAGGCCAGCCTGGTCAACAGAGCAAGTTCCAGGACAGCCAGGATTACTATGTAGAGAAACCTTTTCTTGGAAAACAAACAAAAATAATAGTTGTCAAGGCCAGAAAAAGAATAGGTAGAAAATGACTCAAAAAGATGCATACCAAGAAGCCAGGCATGGAGAGAGATGTGCTTGTCATTCCCAGCACTGGGGAGGGCTCAAGACTCTAGAATGTGGAGCCAACCCAGCCTCGTCAGTGAGCAGGCTCAAGGAGAGACCTGGTCTCATGACATAAGATGGACAGTTCCCAAGGAATGACACCTCTGGATTACCTTTGACCTTCATATACATGTGCACACACGTGTACACACAAAAATTGTTGTGTCAGATAGCAGTAGTGCATAACTTTGTGAAATTACTACTTTTGAATTGTTCCTACTTAATGTGATAAGCTTTGTGGTTTATGAATTATATTTCAACATAATTTGAATTGATATGGTTATAATTTAACCATATAAAAGGTTTATGTTTGTGTACATATGTACTGGGGGCACAATGTACACTTGTCTATGGGTGTGGAGCCCAGAGGCCAATGTCATATGTCGTCTTCAGTTGTTCTTGTTCTTTTGTTTGTTTGTTTGTTTGTTTTTGTTTTTGTTTTTCGAGACAGGGTTTCTCTGTGGCTTTGGAAGCTGTCCTGGAACTAGCTCTGGTAGACCAGGCTGGTCTTGAACTCACAGAGATCCGCCTGCCTCTAACTCCCAAGTGCTGGGATTAAAGGCGTGCGCCACCAACGCCCGGCTTTGATCTTATTTTTTGAAGCAGGGTCTCATTGCACTGAGTAGCAGATATCTCCATGTCACTGTCTGCCCGGTGCTGAGATTATGAATGTGGGCTGTCATGGCTTTGTGGATGCTAGGGATGTGAATTCAAGTCCTTGTGCTTATGCAGACTCAAACCCATAGAACTATTCTTAATGACATTGTAAGCACTTTTTAAATATATAATGTTAGTGCTTTCCAAAACAATGTAAAAGCTAACTTTTTCTTAAAGCCTTGCTATTACAAGGTATCTTACATGCACTGCCTGGAACTTTCTCTAGCCTGCATGTGAGACACTATTGCCAAAGACAGGTGTGCCGTGAGTGAAGTGGCCTTTAGCATGTACATTAAAGCCCATGTTCTTAGATTTTACACACACACATACACAGAGTGGTTTCTTTTCTGTGTGTTCCCATCAAACCTGGAGACTATCATACTGAATCACTTACCACTCTTGGATTTTCATGTTTATTTTCTTCCTATCTTGCCCAGAAAATTATAAGTTCCTTAAAAAAAAAAAAACAACCTTTTGTCTAGTGAAGTCCCATTATCTATTACAGTTAGTAACTAAAATTTGAATAAATAAATTTTTATAACATAACATTTTTCTGGATTCATAGGGGACCTGTAGAAGAAATACAATGTATCTGCTTTCTCTTAGAACATGATCAATATGGAATATTTTGTGATTTGTATGTTAATTAGAAATATTTTTGCTACAGTTATTAAATATACCATTTGATAATTGGCACATAATTTTCTTAGAATAATGAAGTAGCTACTTTAGTATGTATTCCCATGCACATGCCTAACTAAATTACAAAAGCTTCTCTGAATGAAGGTGCATTGTTAGTTGTATAATGAAGCCTGGTGGCGTAGGAAAGGAGACGTGAGGCTTGTGCTTCCCTAAAGCCTTCTGCCTGCGCTGAGGCCCATCACCTCCTCCTCTTTCAGGTACAGGGAGCTCCAGCTTAGTACAGAAAGCAAAGTGGCTGAATTTCTGCACCAGAGTAAGCTGAAGTCCTTTGAAAGTGAACGTGTTCAACTCCTGCAAGAGGAAACTGCAAGAAACCTCGCACAGTGCCAGTTGGAGTGTGAAAAGTATCAGAAGAAACTGGAGGTACCTTTATGTTATTTTCCCTTGCTGTAAGCACAGAGTGTAAGCTTCCTAAGTGTGAGGTTTTCATAGAGCCTCATTCTTCCTAGAGGGTTCTACCTTATACTCACAAGAAAATAAGGAAATAAAGCCAGGAGTAGTTGATCGCACCTGGAACCCCAGCCCAGCGGAGGCCGACACAGGTGACAAGCTGAGGCCCACATAACCAACCAGAGCTGTGTAATAAGACCGTTTCAAAAACAAGAATGAAAAGATACACAGGTAGCAGAAATACATGCGCCAAAAATTGCTAAAATTGTTTTTCAAAAATATTTAGAAAAGGTTTCATTAATATTGACAACCAACCTGGCAGCGGTGGTGCATGCCTTTAATCTCAGCACTCAACTCAGGAAGCAGAGGCAGGTGGATCTCTTTGAGTATGAGGCCAGTCTGGTCTACAGAACAAGTTTCAGGACAGCTAGAGCTAGGGCTTTTATACAGAGAAACTCTGTCTTGAGAAAACAAAAGAAGCATTGGATTACTGGGAATCCTCATGTAAGAAAAATGAAGCTATAATGGTGTATGTAAGACAAAACACAGTCCTTCTGAAAGGTAGAGTTGTTTTCCAGTTTTCACCAAGAAAACTCTTCCTTATATTGTAGCATTTAAGATTAGACACTTGCTTACTTTTGTGTGTGTGTATGTGTGTGCATGCTTATGGGCATGGCAGGGCATTTGGAAGTTAAGACAACTTAGTGAGTTCTTTCCTTTCACAGTATGGAACTTGGGAAGCAGGGCTATCCCACTGGCCCAACTTTCAGCATATTTTTAGCCCAAAAGTAATTCTCTTGATACAAGTCAAAGAATAGATAGGGAATATTCAATATTTTTAAAGAATTTTCTAAAGAAATGAAAGGAAATATTTATTATATTTTAAAATAGATGATATTTGAATGCCAGCTAAACCTAAGCATTTTACATTTCTAGTTTTTCTCTGTGTATAAATGTTATGGAAACATACATTTATAGGTCAATACAAAATGGATGATAATGAAACTGAAAATTAGTCAATGAAAAGCCTTTCCTGGGGGCTGAAGAGATAGATTGCTCAATAGGTAACCATACTGGCTGCTTTCAGAGGACCCAAGTTCTAGTCCCAGCATCCACATGGTGGCTTACAACCATCTGTAAGTACAGTTCCAGGAGATCTCAGGCCCTCTTCTGGCCTCCACTGGCATAGACGTGCATAAAAATAAAATCTAAATTTTTTCAAGTTTAAAAAAATGTTTTAAGCCTTTCCTACTTGAAAATTAATCATGTATTAAAGCATTTCCCTAAATTATAATTTGAATCAATTATATTATAAAAAATTGTTTCTAGTTTAGAAAAATATATGAGTTTTGTTTGTATGTATAATACTAAAATTCTTTTTAGCCATTTGTTGAACTGTCATTTCAATACTCCTTTAAAAGATATGTGCATTCCAGATGAGTATATTGTTTTTGGAAAACAATTTGGCACTGTGTATTTGTTAGGCTGTATTTTTAAATATGTAAAATGCTTCATGCACAGATGCTCATTGCAGGGTTATTTATAACAGTGAAGAACTTAATACTATAAATCTTACTATGGTCACATTAAAAACAGTTGTGTGCCATAGTATCAATTGATATTTTAAGATTTCATAATGTATCAGATACACATTCGTAGATAGATAGATAGATAGATAGATAGATAGATAGATAGATAGATAGAGCCCCTCATATAACTATGTTGTGAATGTAGCTGAGTGCAGAACTGTTGCCCAGCATGCACAAGGTCCTAGGTTCAATCCCCAACACCATAAAATAAACATAAAAATTTTAATTTCTTATTATTGTATGTGTAAATGGCATGTGCATTTGTGTGAACATCTGTGCCACCGCACATATATAAAGGTAAGAGGACACCTTGGTAGAGCTGATACTCTCCCACCTTTACATGGGTCACAGGGATTGAACTCAGGTCACCAGACTTAATATAGTACGTGCCTTTATCTGCCAAGCTATCTGGCAAGCCCCGCGCTAGCTTTAACCCCCCCCCAAAAAAAAGTCAGTAAATGGATTCAGCAGGTTGTACTTGTATTTATGTAATAATAATCAAAGAATCTGCATCTCTTAATCCCCTTTTAAAGGGTTTTTAAAGGACATTTTCCTTGCAAAGGCATTTCTGCTATTGCCCTATGTGGGACTTATATTTCCTTTTGATTTGGATTCAAGCCTATTAGGAAACCAAAAATGCTAAAAGCATGACCAGAGCAGGTTAAGTAACTCTAATGGAAAGCTGGAGAGCTCCTTCCATCATTTTTATACAGTTTGGTACTGACTGCCCAATGACTGACCCCTGGTAGATCTCTCACTGCTGCATCTGCTGGAACTCTTAACAAGCAAATGTCAGTCTTGCCCCAAAATTTGATTTTATTCAGCATATATAATTATTGACAAAGCATTTCATAACTTTAAGTTAAAAGCACCAGAATTATTTACCTTACAAATAAATATGTTATTTCCTCATTAGTCCTCTCTATTGAGCTACTTTTCCTTAATATTTGGATAGCTGGAAAGAGAAGAGGCATAAATATATCTCTGCATTATCTTTTTCTTTTAGCTGTGAACCTGAGTAATTCTTACTTCTTTGAACTTTTGTCGTTCTTTCCTTCCACTACTAGGTTTTAACTAAGGAATTTTATAGTCTCCAAACTTCTTCTGAAAAACGCATTACTGAACTAGAAGCACAGAACTCCGAGCATCAGGCAAGGTTAGACATTTACGAGAAATTGGAAAAAGAGCTTGACGAAATAATAATGCAAACAGCAGAAAGTAAGTCTGCTCCCCACCCCCTTTGCTTGTCCATGTATAGTGTTTTCTTCTGGTTACAGAGGAAAGCTGGCATCATGTCTAAACATACCATGGTATATATTTAAAATATAAGTGATGATCATTTTTAAAGAATATTTTCTATTTTCAGTATTGGTGTAAGTTTTCAATAGCTAGACTCAAAACGTAAGTTAAATTTGATAGATTCTTTGTATTTAATTCACTCATTGTGTAAGTAATTTTCTTTTTGTCAGGTGCTAGGAATACAATGTTTGCAAAATGTTTGGCCTCAGGACTAGACACATAGCTCACTGGTAGAGTGCTTGTGTACACTGCAAGCTTTGCATTCAGTGCCTAGCACAGCCGTGGAAACCAAAATGGCAGCAACACCAAAAGGTGTGATGGTGGGTGTGGGGACACTCAGGAAACTGGGGCAGGAAGATCCAGTTCTAAGCCAGCCTCTACTATGTACCTAGTGTGACCATCCCTAAAACAACAAAAATTATTTTCCTCACAGGCATTTGTGGCCTAATCTAGTTAAGAGAGAAACATGCTAATGAAATGAGCTAGACACTGGAAGCAGAGACACTCGGAGCTTTTGTAAATACAGAAAAGGCCATGCGCTAATTAAACCTTGCAGATGAGAAATCACTAACGGGGAGGGGATTCGTGAATTTTGAATTTCAATATTACTGGATTATAATCTTTGATGTTTAATTTTCATGTGTTTGTTCTCCCATCATAATATGTGTGTGTGTGTGTGTGTGTGTGTGTGTGTGTGTGTGTGTGTGTGTACACACATAATATATACATACTAGGCAGAGAGACAGTCTCGTGTCACCATGCTGGGCTGCTTCAAACTTGTATAAAGGATGACCTTCAACTCCTGAATCTCCTCCTCCCTTCGCCAGCCCAGTTGCTGGGATTATTATAACATGCTGCATCTTGCTTATGCTATATAGACTGGCTATTAGAACTAAGCCTCCTCCTTTCACCAGCAGTTTCCAGACTAAATCCAGCCATATTTGTCACAATTATTAAAACTATATACTCTGCAAGATTATGCCTCTGCAAATATAAATCTCTGTTATGCTTTCTCTGAATATCCATTTCCACATCTTGTTAATGACTTCAGTAGGGAAATAGTGGTGCTCACAAACAGTTGCTTTGTGCTCTGCTTCTAAGGCATGCTATTCAGTCTCTTTAGCATCACTTCCCATGTTGTATAGTACTGTGTTTTTCTAACCTAACCCCAAGAATAGTTACTGCATGATCACATTAAACTCAGTTTTGGCACGTCTATCAATATCTAACCATGCTCACTAAATTTACCTTTCTCTGCACTGAATTTAGAGCCATTTAAGACAGATAAGAATCAAATATGTATGCAGTGATAGCTCTACCGCCAGCATTGCGTTACAGCTTACCTTGACTCGGCAGTTAAGGACTAGCTGGTACACTGGCAGTGAGATAGCATCTCTTTCGTGGGCCCCTCTTAACTATAATCCCACATCTAAAGGCTTGTCCTGGTTTACCATGGAAGATATGAACAACATTAAAGGATCTTTGCCACAGAACGCCTTATCAGAGTTATGTACATAGTACGTGGATAGTCATGCATAGCCAGACTTACTCAATGTATATTTGCTTTCTTCTAAATCTGAAGCTCTCCTGAATGTGATGCTACGTACAGAACTTCATATCTCTTTAAATACTTCAGCTAGAACCAAAAGGAATAAAACTATTTTTTATGGCCTTTGGTCAAGTTTTGCTTTTGTTTTTTGTTTGTTTTGGTTTTTTGTTGTTTTGGTTTGGTTTGGTTTGGTTTGGTTTCATTGGGTTGGGTTTTTTGAGACAGGATTTTTTTATGTAGCTTTGGCTGTCCTGGAATTTGCTCTGTAGAGCAGGCTGGCCTTGAACTCAGAGATTCACCTGCCTCTGCGTCTCAAGTGCTTGGATTAAAGGCATGCACCACCACAGCCAGGCTGGTCAAGAAATTTTTTTTATATTTTTGGTTGTGAGCCTAGCATTTAACAGCTGAGCCATCTCTCCAGCCCTGATCAAGATTTTTAAGTCCCTGTTTTTAGTGAAATGTCATTACAGGACCACAGAATGCTCAGTGGATAAGGGCAGTTGCCACAACTGCCTGCCTGATCACCTTTGTTCAGCCCTCAGAATACAAATCTTGCAGGTCGCCCTGACTTCTCACATACAATGTAGCACACTTATACGTGCACACACAAATACACACATGCACGCACACACAAACAGTAAAACATGGCATTACATTGAAACTTTTACCCATTAAGAAGCTAACCCATTAGTTCAAATACCTTATAGGTAGTTCTATGACAATTGCAGTATTTTTTAAATTATCTTCCCTGAAATTGTTTGATAGTTACAAAATTAATGGCAAACGTCTTTTGGGGATTAGAGATGAACTCTGAGGGTAGATTTTCTTCCAAGCATTTAGGAAGCTTCGGATTCAGGCCTCAGCACCAAGTAAACCAGCATGGTTGTGTATTTCTATAATCTCAGGACTCAGAAGTGGAGGCAGAGGATCAGCACCTCAGGGGCATCCTTGACTTAGCAAGTTCAAGGGAAGCCTGGGTTGCATGAGACCGTTTCTCCAGAACAAAACAAATTCACCTTTATTCAATTGATTATATAATTTTGTTGAATTATGTAATATATGGTTCATACTAAAAGCCTTTGAATCAATCCTTCAGAATAACTACAATACCTGAGTTATTGTGCTCTATCAGAAAACATAGCCTGTCAGGTGATGTAATTCTTCAACATCTAAAAATAGATCAGCAACTCCAAGCAAGGATACTCTTTAATGTTCCACCCCTCTCTAAATATACATTAGACTTTATGAATGGTCTTGGGATTCTTAATTTGTTATTATGATCATTTATTGTCACTTCTGCTATGCTTTTTAAGGAGAAATGTTATTCCACATCACGTATTTTAATATTTTTTCAGTTGAAAATGAAGATGAGGCTGAAAGGATTCTTTATTCCTATGGCTATGGTGCTAATGTTCCCACAACGGCTAAAAGACGACTAAAGCAAAGGTAAGATCGATATAGATTTATCTTGTCTACTCACGCTAAGTGTAATTACATAGTACATTTTGATAATGTACTGAGCTGAATGATAAAGTTCCGTGTTCTTAATATTCATAAATATTAAATTGCTCACAGAGTAGGACATGGTAATCACCATGAGCTTCATCTATATTTAAGTGAATTTAATGGTTAGTAGATATGTACATTAGAACTTCCATGGTGTTAGACACAGTAACTTTTAAAAAGCCATTTTATTTTCACATTAATTTCAGATAAATATAAATGCTTTGTAGCAGTATTTTTCAAGTTAGAACTAATTATTTATGCTACTATCAATTCCTATATTCCTTGTTTTATTACTTATCTACTATATTCCTTTATATGTATTTTAAATATATATAATATGTTATTTATAACATTACATATAGTAAAATATATATATTAAAGGAGGAAATATGGAGAAAGAGTGTATGTTGCAGGTAAATCTGTACAGTTTTTTAGGTACCTGTCTTGTCACCGTGACAAAACAGCTGACAAAGCCACTTAAGATAGCAAGGGTTTGTTTGGCTCAAGTTTCAAGGGTTCACAGTCCATCATGATGAAGAAGTCATGGCAGCAGGAGCATGAGGTAGCTGGTGACATCGCAGCCACAGTAAAGAAGCAGTATGTAAGGAATGCTGTTGATGGCTCCATTTCTTTTATATTCATTTTGGAACACCTACTCCTGGAATGGTGCCACCACATTTAGGGCAGGTCTGCCCCCTCAGTTCATCTAATCTAGATAATCTCTTACATGCTGAAGCTTGTCTCCTAGATGTTTCTAGATCCTGTGAGATTGCTAATTCATATAAGAAATAAACCACGCAAGGCTAGTCATAGGAGAGGTCACACACCTGATGCCCATCACCAGACAGGGTGGTCTTAAAACTTGAGTCCTGAGTTCTGCCTGAGCCATATAATAAACTCTAGGCCAGTCTGTGGTCCACATGTAAAAAAAAAAAAAAAAAAAAAAAAAAAAAAAAAAAAAAAAAAGAAGAAGAAGAAGAAATGAGGAAAGAATAGACAGAGGAGGAAAGGCAAGGAAGGGGATGGAAGGAGAGGGGAAGAGAAAAAAAGCATTTCCAGCTAAGGCTCTGTGGAGACCAAGAGAACCGGCTAGAGGATGGGCTAAGCTCATGTGCAGTTCTGCTTAAAGCCGTTTCTCCTACACCAGCAAAACCTGTACCAGTCAATGCCGCCAGCTCTTGCTCCTCAGTGCATCTGGCTCTATGGGAACATCCGACGGCTCTGCTTCTACCACCTCCAACCTGAGCCTCCCGCCAGCTTTGCAAGCCCCCTCCACCATCAGCAGCAACCTTATTTGCCTCTTTACTCAAAGTGACAGGAATAGGACATCTCCACTGGTAAACATGTTTTCTCTACATCACGGTAGAATGTCTTGCTTTTTTCAGCCATCATTTCCCATGTAATTTCCTCACCTAGATAGAAGTTCTTCATGGTCAGCAACCACTTCTTATTCTCTGACCTTCCTAGCTCAGTGGAGAATACCTAGTTAAAAAAAAAAAAAAATTCTGTACCTGAACGCTCAAGGTTTCAACACTGATAGTCTATTGTTTTATGTGGCTAATTTAGAAATTCAGAAGCATACAAAATAAGAATTTATCTTACTTTTGTAGACGTTTTCAGTTTTAAAATATTTTGTGTGTTTTGTTTTTATTTTTCAAGTCAGGGGTTCTCTTGTATAACACTGGCTGTCCTAGAACTCACTCTGTAGACAGGCTGGACTTGAACTGAGACATCTGCCTGCCTCTGTCTCCTGAGTGCTGGGATTAAAGAAATGCACCACCGCTGCCCAGCTGAGATTTTTATTTCTTAAGTGTGTGTTTGTGTGTGTGTGTGTGTGTGTGTGTGTGTGTGTGTGCGAACATGTATTTAAGCACATGTCTGTGCGCATGTGAGCTCAGGTCCCTGCACAGTAGCAGAGAGAGTATCAGTTCTCTCTTTCTCTCTCTCTCTCTCTCTCTCTCTCTCTCTCTCTCTCTCTCTCTGTGTGTGTGTGTGTGTGTGTGTGTGTGTGTCTGCGCATCTCTACACAAGTACATCTGAAAGAGATCATCAGATCTCCTGAGCTGCAATTGCACGTGGTTGTCAGCTGCCCATCGTGGGAGCATGGGTCTTTCCAGAGTAGTCTACACTCTCAACCACTGAGCTATTTCCCCGGTCTCTTTGTAGATAGTTGAAGTGATGAATGTAACAGCAAAAAGACAATAATTTATCCTTAAGACTATCTAAAGTACTTTGGGATACTACTTGAAAGGAAGCAAGAAAGAATGCTTCAGAACTAATACTGTTTGTTGATTAAATATTTGGAAACTCTAGCTCACAAATCGATGAATAGAAAGTATCGGTTTGTAGCTGGAATGGCTACTTCTGTTTAGTAGAGGTTTGGGTGCTTCTAAGTTATATATATATTTAAAGAATTGGTTGTCACCCCATCCCTTCCAGGTACTCTGAAAGGCTGGTGTGACTGACTCAGGGTACTTTGCAAGTTTTAAATATATCTTTTTTTTTCTTTTTTTAGTCCATAATTTCCTAGAAAAGAATAGAAATGCGGGTAATTTCATGACTAAGAAACTTCTCTATTAGCAGAAAAATGTTTGGTAAAATACTCAAAACTGAAGTCTAATAGGAAAACGCCATGCCCTTGTTTTAGCATCTGAACTTACAGACTGTTTCTATGGGGAAAGAGAAGTTCACTGTTATAAGATTCTATAGCCCAAAATGTTGAGCTTTTAAATTAAATCTGATTGTTGCTATTGAACCATGTTTTTTAAAGAAGTTTCTAAAAACCAGAAGTTGGGTTTTGCTGTTGTTTTGTTTAATCCCCAAAGATTTTAAAGAACCAAGTGATTCATAGTCCAAATGATCTTAACTGTCCAAATATTTCCGAAGATTCTATCACCGAGCTATCTGTGAGCCCTGAACATGTGCCTAATGGGTATGCTATTAATACCCCTGCCAGCTGGTGCCAGGCATTCTTCTCATGGTGAGCCAGAGAGCTATTCTGAGGAAGTGCTTCTCAGGTCATCTAAACTGAGGGAAGAGAGTGTAAGTCTAGACATCCAAAGAGGACATGTATGTATCCCTACACCGATTCAACAACTTTAATGAGTGCCTACTATGTGCACAATTTGAGTATTGGCACCTAATCCATGTTAGGATTTGATGCACTTTTGAAGATTGAAAAATCAACATTTGGCTTCTTGAGGGCTGTTTATACAGGAAGCAATTTGCTTTGTGTCCTCTTGAAATTTATTTAAGACAAGAGCAATGTAGCTTGTAGAGAATCTATACTTACTAGTCTTTGGCATTTGAAATGAAAGCAATGCAAATTTAAAGTGAGTTATATGAAATGATTCATAAAAGTAAATGGTGGAATGCTTGTATAATAAAGTTGTCATATATCAGCTTATGCAAAAGTGTATTAAAAATTCAAAGGAACTTATTTCTCAACTGTAATATAATGTATCTTCTTCATACTTAATTTGATTTAAAATTTTATCTATTTAGCAGCCAATAGTATTTTATGTTAACATTTAATTGATTATAAATATTTATTTTATTTTTAAAATTTGGTAAATTGTTGGCCATTCCATTATTCAAAACAGCCAATCAAAAATTTATACAAATGTTAATTTCCTTGCATCTTTAGGACATTATAATTTATAGTAGCTTAGTTTTTAACCTTAGCATTCTATCATGCATATTTTCCTATCAATGAATATTCTTCAAAATACACTAACTGGGGGGAATAGGTAATAGTTGAAATGGGGAGAGGGCATGAGAACAGAGATGAACATGAGGACAAAGTATAGTGGCGTATTTGTGTGACATATCCTGCTGAAATATATTACAGTTTATTCCAACTTTAAAAGTAAGTGTAAAATTCTTTTTTTTTCTTCTCGGTTTTTTGAGACGGGGTTTCAATGTGTAACAGCCCTGGCTGTCCAGGAACCACAGAGATTCATCTGTCTCTGCCTCCCCGGTGCTGAGAGTTAAAGGTGTAAACCACCACGCCTGGCCAAAAATCATTTTCAATAGTTACCTAAAAATTTGATATTTAGGCTTTTTGGTTCTGAGTGCCATGTTACTGTCAATAAGTAAAGCCCATGAAAAATATAATTGCCTCTTGCTACCGAAAGAATATTTTAAAAATGTATGTGAAAATCACCACAGAGTGTTTGGCATAGAGTAAGTGACAGTAAAGAAGAGAGAGTTTATCAGGCCAGGGCTCTAAAACTTCTCCCTAGACACCAATTAAAATAATTCAAGTAAACTACTTTGGTTTTTAATTTTTAATGAGCCTTTTAAAATACGTGAAACATGGGCATTTGCTTCCTTTGTTGTGTGCTCGTTTCTGAAGGCACCCTAATGCCAGTTTCCTGGGAAGTGGTAGCCGTAGCTTTGTGTTTCTCATCGGTGTGTAAGTATTGTAAGTATACAATAAGGTAACTCACACTGTGAAGCTGCATATAAGCATAAATAAATTGCTAAAATTTTTAAAACTCTGGTACCCAACTGTGGAAAGCCAAAGGGGCTTATATAATTGAAGTAGATTAAAATAAAATTATCTCCTTGACATGACAAAACTTGAAATCTGAGGTAATGTTTTTGTTTGAGTAGCAACTATTGGAAAACACAAACAAGATTTTCTGGTTGTGTGCATTGCTTGTGCTTCCTCACTGCACGGGTGACACCCAGGCCCTGTTGTCTTGGTGCCCTGTCTTTGTTTGGGCTGATCTGGATGCCGGGGGACATTTTTAGAACGTTTTTAATTTGTAAAATTTACTGCCTAGTGTAGAATTTTTAAAAAATTGTTTGTGTTTTCTTATTTTGCTTTATGTATGTGAGAGTTTTGCCTGCCCGTATGAATCTGATGCTTATGTGTGCCTGGTGCCTGTGATCAGGAGAGGTGCGGGGTCCCTGGGACTACACTTAGGGCACTTCATACCCAAGCCGTAGCACCTTTTGTGTCTCAGAATGCCTTCATCAAAACCAAGTCCACTGCTGTTAGGATCCTGCCCCTGTGCTAACACGAAAGCTCTGGTATGGAATGTCTTGATTCAGTGTTGATGTCATGATATTTTTCATCTTGTCACCATCTCTGCATCAGAGCAGTATGTTCAAAACAAATCACCAAATCAAATGAGCAGTATAATGTACTTGCCTGGACATCACCAAGTCACCACCATCTTTAGGATGTTGTTTTTAAAGGTGCTGACTCTAAATAACAATTTCTCAACAAATGCTGAAGGTGGTATAGACAGTATTTATGTAATACTGATTACAAAAGAAAAAGTGGTTGATAATAATCAGGGTTTTTTAATTAATCAAAAGTGGAGCTAGTGATCCAAAATATTGAGTTTATAGATACAGTTAAAAACAACATTTAAAACCAACAGATTTAATCCAAATGTCACATTAAGATATTTCGCTGGAGCTAGTTGTGGTGGTGAATGCCTTTAATTCCAGGACTCAGGAGGCAGAAGCAGGCAGATCTCTGAGTTCAGGGCCAGCCTGGTATACAGAGTTTTGTATAGAACTGTGTTCCAGGACAGCTACAAAGAGAAACCCCATCTCAAAAAAACACTAAACTATACATTTGTTGTATTGACTCATGAAGAAAATGTGATTTTTTTTTCTTTTCCTTTGGGGGGAGAGGTTTTGAACCTGAATTTTTTTTTTCTGTAGAAAACTATGTCAAATTCCATTATAATGTTAATACGTAAATTGGATTGCTATACATGAAGTATGGTCTTTAGAGAGAAAAAAATATTAAAATGTAAACAGTAAATCCCTTTAAAGTCCATAAAGAATACAGTGGTTGAATTTCCCTAAGATGGAGTGGAGGGATTACGAGGCATTTAATAGAGAGTGGAAAGAGAGAAAGAATGGCTGTTAGTAGGGTAATTGAAATGCCCTCAAATCATGCTGTCATGATGCTTGCACAACTCTACACTTTAAATTGCTATTTGTTGTGTAAGTTGCATATTATGTATTTCAGATATAATAGTTTTTTTTTTTAAAGAATAATTGTCAGGAAAAGAAGACTGCTGCTTTTTCATCTTTAACTTCAGCTGACTGGCAAATGCCCTGCCAAGTCAAAGATGAGGAAATGTAGACATACTGTTGAGATCGCTGTATAAACATTTATCAGAACTTGTATTTTTTACTTGGGTGAGCAGTCTTACACATAAATGTGTTGGGTGATATTTAGCAAAGTCTTACATGAACTCTTTTGTCTTTGGTTGGGAAATATACATACAATAGGGTTCATATTCTATAGTGATTCTTGGTGGAAATGAAAAAAATAATCATTGCATCGTTCTGTCCATTTGGATTC